GGAAGCAATACTTGCAAATTCATTCCTGAAAGCAAGCATGACCTTGATCCCCAAAGCAGAGAAAGACCTAACCAAAAAAAAAGAACTATAGGCCAATCTTACTAATGAACATAGATGTAAAAATCCTTAATAAGATAGTGGCAAATTGAATGCAGAAGATCATCAAGAAGATCATACACCCTGACCAAGTGGGATTCACCCCAGGGACACAAGGATGGTTCAACATACACAAATCAATCAATGTAATCCACTATATCACTAGTCCCAAGGAAAAAAACATATGATCTTCTCAATAGATGCAGAAAAACTATTTGACAAAATACAACATGCATTTATGATAAAAACCCTATAAAATATTGGAATAGATGTTCTCTACCTCAATCTGATAAAAGGCATCTATGAAAACCCAACCGCCAATATCATACTAAATGTTCAAAAACTGAAATCCTTCACACTAAAATCAGGAATAAGACAAGGATGTCCACTATCATGGCACCCGTTCAATACAGCTTTGGAAACATTAACCATGACAATTAGACAGGAGAAAGAAATAAAAGGAATAAAGATAGGAAATGAAGAACTCTAATTGTTATTATTTGCAGATGACATGGTTTATATAGAAGACCCCAAGAATGCCACCAAAAGTCTTCTAGACCTAATAAGCAAATTTAGTAAAGTAGCTGGATACAAGGTCAACACACAAAATTAATAGCTTTCCTCTACATGAACAACAAACTCACTGGGAGAGGAATAGGGCAAACAATTCCTTTCACAGTAGCATCCAAAATACTGAAATACCTAGGAATCAACCTAACAAAAGAAATCAGAGACCTCTTTTCTGAAAACTATAGCACTCTGAAAAGAGAGATTGAAGATGATATCAGAAAATGGAAAGACATCACTTGCTCCTGGGTAGGAAGGATCAGCATAGTGAAAATGGCCATACTTCCACAACTGCCGTTTAGGTTCAATGCAATCCTGACTGAAATTTCAGCAGCATACTTCATGGACCTTGAGAAAACAATCCAAAAATTCATTTGGAACAAGAACAGACCCAGAATTAGCAAAAGCAATTCTAGGCAACAGAGCCATGACAGAAGGTATCACAACCCCCAACTTGAAACTATACTACAAAGCTACTGTGATAAAAACAGCATGGTACTTGCAAAGAAACACACCTGAGGACCAGTGGACCAGATTAGAAGATACAGAAACAACTCCAGACACACTCAGCCACCTTTGACAAAGGAGCCAAACAGCCTCACTGCAGGAAACATAGCCTCTTTAATAAATGGTGCTGGAAAAATTGGGTTTCAACTTGCCAAAAATTAAAACTAGGCCTATATCTCTCACCATGCACTCAACTAAAATCGAAATGGATTAAAGATCTAAATATTAAAACAGAAACACTGAACCAGCTGGAACAGAGGTTACATAGAACTCTTGAAGACTTTGGTGTAAGAAAAGATTTTATGAACAAAACCTCAGTTGCCTGTGAACTAGCACAACCAATCAACAAGTGAGATCTCTTCTTATTCAAAAGTTTGTGCACAGCAAGAGAAACCACCAACAGTGTGAAGAGACAATCCACAATGTGGGAAAAATTTTTCACCTGCTGTTACTCAGACAAAGGTCTACTATCCAGAATCTATGAAGAACATTAAAAAATTGGACCTCTCAAATTTAAAAACCCAATCCCAAAATGGGCATCTGAAATGAACAGACATTTCTCAGACAAAGAAATAGAAATAGCAAATATGGAAAAAATGTTCAACATCACTGGTCCTTGGAAAGATGCAAATGATAACAGCCCTGAGATTTCATCTCACCCCAGAAAGAATGGCTGCTATCATGAAATCAACCAATAACAAATGCTGGTGGGGCTGTGGGGAAAGAGGAACACTGCTGCACTGCTAGTGGAAGTGTAGACTGGTGCAACCACTGTGGAAATCAGTACGGAGATACCTCAAAGAACTAGGATTGGAAGTCCTATTTGACCCAGCTTTTCCCCTGCTGTGTATCTTTCCCAAAGAGTGAAAAGCATCATACCACAGTGATATTATTTGCACCCATGTTCATAGCAGCACATTTTGTAATAGCTAAGACTTGGAAGCAGCCCAAATGTCCATCAACTGGAGACTGGATAAAGAAAATGTGGGCTTTTAAAAAATACAAAATAGAGTACTATTCAGCCATAAAAAATGAGAAATTAGAGACATTTATAGTTAAATGGATGCACATTGAGGCTATACTCTTAAGTGAAATAAATAGGACACATGTGTAAATACCAAATAGTTTCTCTAGTGTGAGGAACTGAAAGTGTAAATAAGGACTAAAGGGTATAATAGGTAATGTGAAATAGGAAGAAAAGGGGCAAAGGGGAAGGGGAAGTGGGAGGGGTAGGGGAAAGGAAAGAAGGGAATGGAATTAATATGAGAAAATGAAAAAATGGAAACAAAGCCTTTGTAAATAGGGAGGGATGGAGGGGTTGAAGGGCAGGGAAAGGGGGAAAAATAAGAACGAAGAGTGATTATGTAAAGGTGCAAATTTCCGATGAGGAATGTCATTATGTTGTATACCTGAAATGTACCAACAAAGTTAATTTAAAAAAAAAAAAGGAATACAGGGCTGGGTATTAGGTCTGTGGTGCAGCCACTTGTCGGGCAAGCACAAGGTCCCAGGTTCGATCCCCAGTACCAAAAATAAATAAATAAATAAATTTAGAAAAGGAAATGCAGTAGAAGTATATTATTTTCCTCTTTCCTAGCAAACATATTCTAATGTGATGGTGTATTGGAAAATTCACTTTTGATTTTGGTTTGACTTAGGCATCTTTGATCTAGTCATCCAACTGCTCCAGACACATCCCAAGGATGAACTGTGTAGAGGTCAAAGGTGATTTTAGTTTGATGTTCATCAAAGCATTACTTCTAAGGAAGAACTTTTAAGGTGTGGGTAAATTATAGTACTTGTATATGATGGAATATTATGAAACCATCATAAATCAAGTTTTCAAATAATGTATCATAACTTTGAAGAATTCATGTATTAAAATGCTTATTAATACAATTTAAAAGAACATAAAACTTTCTATGCATAGTAAAACCACTTTCATTTTTAAATCCTCAAATATAAATACATTAATTGAAAAATAGTATTTTAGTTTAAAGTATTTGTGAGAAAAATCTACCTACACAAAATGGAATACTACTCAGTTATAAAGAAGGATAAATTCAAGACTTTTGTAGGAAAATGGATACATCTGGAAAACATAAAGTGAAATAAATTAGACACACAAGCTTACATACCATATGGTTACTCTCATTTGAGTAGTACAAAATACAAATAAAGAGCAAAAGCAGGGACTAGGAAAAAGAAAGAGGCAGATAGATCTTTTGCAAATGGGAAGGGATCCAAGAGACAAAGGGAGAAAAGGATATAAAAATATGTAAGATGTGTCACATACAGGTACCAAATACAATGAATGTAAATGGTATATGTCTTAACCGTGAAGTAAAAATAACAACAGCAATGAACATGGTGAAAGGGGACCTAGAGACAGAGGGAGAGGAAGAGGTATAAAAAGAATCAAGATACATTTTATATATATGTACCTACTTTCCAAAATGAAATGTGAATGAATAAACTTCATCCACAGCAAACATGTACTAATAAAATAAAATTCAAAAATAAAGTGTGTATACACCTATATCTATATATCTATATCATATCTGTATCTATCTAGCTATCTGCCTATGTATTTATCTATAAAACACATTTATTGAGAAATAAGAAAAAAGGCTGGAAGGACGTACATAAAATTTTTAATAGTAGTCATGTATTAAAGACAAGATTTAAAATAATTTTATATTATCCAAAGTACATACTGAATACAATTAGACAATTGACAGTTAAAGCAAAGATGTTAGTGGAGTCAAGAAAAGTGTTGAATAAGAACAGCTCACAACTTGCCAGTATTTATTAATTGCCGCATGAATGAGATGAGCTGGTTTAACACAATGGGCCACAAAATTTAACTGGTTTCTAATGAACCAGATCTATCATATATTTTCTCTGGTTTTCTGAATGGCTTAAATCTCTCACTATTTTACAATTTCTAAGCAAAAAAGAATATGTTAACTCTAGGTGGCTAGTTGTATTCATAAGAGGCAAACAATGGTATTTAGATGTGAACTATTAGAAATTTTAATTTATTCCTTTTCACTTGTCTACATATGAAGGAATTGTACATATAAAAGACTTGGGGCAGTTAGACAATGCTTGGCTCCCAAGTTAAAATCTCCTTGATTTTTAGTAGTTTGGCACTATCTTTCTAGACTTACATTGACATTCTTTTAAAGCAAAAACAGCAGATACAATATGGTGGGGCTTTTAAGCAGCAATGAATAAAACATTGTTGAAATCCCCTAAGGAGTTTAAGCTCCAAGAGTCCTGGGTTTCCTTCCCAACAGAAATGTTATTTAAAGGAACCATGTTCTTCTCCATGCATCCACCCCGACTGAAATGAGGGTTCATGTCATTCAGAGAAGAAAAATCCTGGCTCATCTCCATATCAACAACAAAAAATATTAATTTGGGAAGCTATCCCCTTTGCTCCCAGCAAGCAGAACAGAAAATAAAATATGTTCTGATGAAGTGCCTCATTAACTGGGGTGAGAAGGATAGTTGCCTTAATATAACCAATGTGTGAAAACATGTATTTACTATTGTCTATATATGGCCAGGGAGTCCAAATTTAAGAAACACTGAAGAAACATCTACTAAATGCAACAATAGCACATATCTATGTCTAAAGTTCTCCATATAACATATAACAAACTTCCCATAATTTGCATGTCTTGGTTTGGCAGACTCTTGTTATATGTGGAACAATCACACATAAAACACTGTACATGGCATGCTGACAGCACCCATTAAGTGTTGATTATTACCATTATTCTTTCAGCTATACACACATTAATAATACTCCCTTAACTTATCTTCTAGCAAAGGAGGCTCTTCGTCAAAACTGTCAATGTAAGGAGATTGTGAATAATATTCTGAGTTGGATGCTGGCTGAAAAAGTAGTCCTGAGTAACTTGCTGTTGTGAGCATCTCTAAAGGAACAAGAGGGGTGGGCTGAGACTGCCCACTGGCTTGCTGTCTAGAAAAAGAAAAATGCAGATATTTACACATCGAATAAAGGGATATCCTGACAAATCAAGAGAAGGAGGTGCAATTTTCCTTATAAGATTTTACTTAGTTTTTATGGATATTTATCCAAGCAAGAAATGACCTACTTGAATTTTAGCTTTATTCCAAAAAATAAAATAAAATAAAATAACGAGTCACGCAAAGGCTTCCAGAAAAATTCTGCATACAAACCAACACAAACTGAACATGTACAATATATTGGGCACGGCCCTTATATTTTCCAATTAAAACTCTGTAAGGTCAAAGCTGTGTTTTTATTTTTCATTGTTTTTTAAAGCTGTGTTTTTAATCCTACTTCACAGGAAAAGAAACAGAGGCCCGTGGACACTAAATGACTTGTCTAGCATCGCACTCTGACACTGCAGTGGGATCTGGACAGAGGCTCTCTGAACAGCATGCTGGGCCCTACACATTATAGCTCCATCACTGATGTTCATGGGCAGTCACCAATTGTGGCACCCCTTTACATCTGAGGGACAGCAAGTAAAAATAATGTTATGAGCACAGTTAATTCAAAGGAAAAAATAAGTGCATACATTTACCACTGTCCATAAAGAAATGCTCTTTCCAGTTCTGGCCATTCCCAAGTAGTACAAATGAAATATCCTTGAGTATCTAGTTAAATGTATTGTATAGCTAACTTCAGAATCTCTTTTTTGAAATGTGTGATTTAGTTTCACTAAAACGTGATGTTTCAATACCTCCTTGACTGTGTTTTTGCTCTTGGTTTTGCCATTTGTGTGAGAAAGTTTGAAAAGTATTGGTATTTGTAAATTACATCTTGCTAGAGGTAGAGAAGGAAGAAAGGGAAAAAGGGAGAGTGTGAGGTTATTTGTTCATGATACACACTTTTACCTGAAGGAAGAAGAAACAAAAAATAGCCCATTACCATGTTTAAGGGTTATTTTTTTCTACCAATGGCCTTTAACCTAAGCTAAATATACACTCCAAGATTCTGACCTTGGGAAAATCCCTGAGATCTCTTGTGTTAATCTATTTTTTGAAATGGCTTTTAATGATTTCCTTTTAACATTAACCATAATATGAAGTCTAAGAATAACATATTTAACCTTTTCTATATCTGTAAACTTGCCAAGAAAATAACTTATTTTGGCAAATAACTCCACAGAGCTAGGTAGGGACATATGCACTCAATCATATACTAACTGAATCATAGTGCTCATTAAGGGTTGTGACCAGATATGCTTCTTGAATCCCCCAGAACATATACTGATTAGTTCTTCATTTAGCCATGTGGCATGTTCCTAATCTTTTTTTTTTTATGACAAAATAGGTACAATATCAAAAGTAACAGAAACAAATTATAAGTAAGAATCTACAGGTCTTCAACTTGGTAAAATTCTTGTAATATATATTTTTAAATATATGTCTTGCTAGAAAAATAAGAGGCAACCAAGATACATCATGTACAAGATCCCAATGATGAATATAACTGTACTGTATACCTAAAATGTACCAATAAACTTAACGAAAAAAATAAGAGGCAAATAAAGATGTCTAAATAAGATTTTCCTTGATATACTTGCTTGGCATTATCATAAATCTTGCACAGGTGCGCTAACCAGGCTTGAAGAAGTGTAACTGTCACAATTATTGCCTGCAAAGCAACTTTTGTGAATGATAAAGACTTTGTATGTACTCTGCACCAGTCTTGCATCCCAAGAGAAAAATGCATTAAAAATACATACATGCCCATCACCAGCCAAATGCTGTCACCTATTTTTCTCTCCATTCCTCTTCGCTCCTTCATCTAGTAAAACTTCTCCAACAAGAGCTTGGTTTCCATTGTCTTATTATAAGGACATAATTATAAATTTCACCTCCACTTAAGAAAGCAAATTTTAAAAATTTCCCTGTAAAGCAAGCCTCAAAATCTTTTATTTATAAACTTACTATTCTTGAATTTCATGATAGTCTAAATTAAAATTCTCTCTCTTACAACTTCAATTTTATATGCACTAGCCATAATATTTACTATTACGTCTTAATGAACATCATCTAAGCAGTATCAAAATAATCTCATTAATGGTTTAAAGTTCCACCCAGAAAACTCTCGAAATACTCATAATTGAATTCTCATGTTTTAGGTCTTTGCTCTAAAATTGTTATAAGCAACCATAATTCTAAGCACCTTTCTAAACTTACTCCTATATCTTCTGGTATTATCCTTTTTAATCGATAGCACCACTTAGAATGGCAGTGCCAAAGAGTTTCTTAATACAAGGGGTTATCTAAAACTACAGTGAATGCTTAAATAAAATTTCTTTTACAGTAAAAGACACTTGTATTAATCTCTCTGAGTTGTACCCCTCAATTTGAACATACTTATCCCATCATTCTTGCTACCTTCTGAAGCAGTTCTGGAAGTCCTCTTTCATGAATGTCTTTATGAGGTATGATCAAAAATAAAGTGAATGCTATTGTTGAGTGTCATCCAATGAAAAGACAGGTTGTAAAACATTGTGGTACATACTCACCCATCTTATTCTAGATCTGGCACCTTGCAACTTCTGACTTTTCTGCAAAGTCAAAAAGACCATGAAAGGTAAATGTTTTGAATGGATTCAAGGCAGCTATGACACCTCAATTAAAGATGCTTACAGAAGAGGATCTCCAGTACTGTTTCACAAAGTAGCAAGGATGACAGGTTAAGTGTGTTCAAAATGAGGAAGAGTATTTTGAGTGGGGAGTAATGGCAGTGTGTCTTTCACTGTAGTAATTTTTAAAAATGTAAACATTCACTGTATTTGATGATCACACTGTGTGTTCTTAGTGACATCATTCAAATTGACTATATCTTTTCTTGAAAAAAATTACAGGGGAGATAGAACTGGACACTTTTTACTACAAGCTTTGTTAAACCTATAGCAAGTATTGAATGATAAGCATATTAGAGGCACCATCAGAAGTCAGATTAATATATTCACAATTTAAAGTGTTAAAGTTATATCATATCTATACCCTTCACAGCATTGTAGGAAAGTGTATATTCATGAAATTCATGATTTAAATGTGATTTTAAGTATGGCTTACAAAAGCAACTGACACTTTGTTGCCTGACATCATTTAACATTCCTGTACTTGCTTACACAGTTGCTTTTCTGCCTGTTTTTTTTGTGGGTCTAGGTTAGTGGATTGGGAGAAGGTGAGAAAAACTCTCATAGTGACTAATACTCATTGATCTCTTGTTATGTGTTAGAAACTGTTTGAGCTATATAAATTAACTCACTGGATCTTCAAACAACCTTATGACATGAGTTCTGCTTTATTCTCATTTTACATATGAGAAACCAGCCACACAGAGAATTGAGAAACTTTCTCAAGATCTAGAAGAAATGGGGTTAAGCTTTTAGTTGCTTGATTAGGCCCATAATGAAGGTGAGCATATGATTTATTGTAAAATAAAGACATTTTAGTTTAAAATGTATATTATTGATAATAACGTTGAGATAGTAGGAATAGGCCGGACCATCATAGACAAACGTAGGAGGTCTAGTTTCTGTACCATCCTAACAAGTCTAGGCCAAATTAACTTATAACAAATATTTCAAGTGTATTAATTCTTGAAGGTTGTTGTTAAACAGACACCCAAAAAATGTTTATTAATTCAATGAAGTCTGGCTCTCAAGCAATGTCCTGAAAAAAAACTAGTGTTATGGTTTGTGTTTAGATTCCCCCCTCCCCCAAGCCTTATGTGGGCATAGGTGGCTGTTTCTCAGAGATGGCTGAATCTAGAGTGTGTGATGCTGGGGTTAAGAGTTTGTGGTTTCTAAACCAGTCCACTAATTGGTTTGGCACCACCCTAATCCCCCATAGTCTGGCTAAGATAAAAGGGGCAGAAGATGCTTTTAGGTTTCCCTAGTTGCTTTTGCTGTCTTCTGCTACCATGAACTGTTGCCCTTCTGCCACCCTGCCTTGTAGCCAGCTGATTATAGGCTGAAACCTCTACAAACGTGAGCCAAATAAACCCTTCCCCCTTTAATTTTGGCATTTTGTCTCAGCAATGAAAGAAAGGTAACTCAAACAATTAGAAAGAAAGAAAATATTTTCTATTTGCCTAGTGCTTGTACTTGGGATCCCTGTTGAGAGCTATTTTGAAAAGAATAGATAAGACTCTCAGTTGGCAACGGTTCCCAAGTTGTAAAGGACACCTACCTCGAACTAGATTAATTTCTCTCTCCTTTCTTGTAATTGTCTGGGGGGGACTTAACTGAGACATATCTCAGTGGCATACTATGGAGAACTTTGTCTTTTCCCAAGGAAACCTCCCTACCTGGAATCCTTTACAATAATGTTAACACTTTTCAAATGGGAGCATATGTACTCAATATAAAATACTTACTCTCCAGGTCCATAAAGATCTCCATAGGCACTGGCATCATTATAGCTTTGCTCCTGGTTATCGATAGTATAATTAGATTGGTAAAAGTCAGTCTCAAGTTGTCCCACGTTTGACATCCTCAGAAAAAAACAACATTATTTTTTACTAAGTTCACAAGTCAATATATTTTTGAAACATTCACAAAGATTAACTGATACTGTGATTATGGCTGTAGTCCTAACAGAGAACAAGGTCTTCTTTGAAAGATAAGTTAAATATTGGGGAAAGAGTATGGAAATATATGTTAGAAAGTCATTAACAAAACATGTTATCTTCAAGTACTTTTTCTGAAGTTTTCAAATCTTCAGATGGTAACTTAACTATATTGACTTTAATCTGAAAGAACCAACATTCTTTACCAAACACTTTATTGTTAGTGGTTCAAAAGACAAATTTTGATACACATAATATGAAGTTCTTCCTCAAAGTAATAGCTGGTTATAATAATAATAAATAATAAATATGGTAATAAATAAACCATTTGAGCTTGATTTTTACTAGAGATTTAAAACTTGCAGGGCTGGGGATTTAGCTCGGTGGTTCCGCCACCTGACCCGCAAGCACAAGGATCGGAGTTCGATCTCCGGTACCAAAACAAAGAAACAAAAACTTTGCTGACAACATTTCTGCTCCACAAAATAAAACAAAGCACTTCTATTTAGAAATTTCTAATAAACGTTTGGATTTTTTTTTTTTCCCAGGATGCTGCCCCTGGGCTCCTGGCTGAGTTAGAGAAAAGCTCTTTCTTTTTTCTTCTACACACTCTGCATAGTTTGTCCTCAATTCTAGTAGTGAAGAGAAATGCATAGCCTTGACTTGGAGCTTAAGGCCAGGACTACCAGATGAAGAACATTGTGAGAAGAGAAAGGGATGAAGGCATGATGTTAAAAAGGTGATCTGGATGTTTAGATAAAAATTAGAAAATAGAATAGAAACTTTTCAAATGAATAAATATTATTTGATTTAACATTTCAATCTCTTTTCCTTGAAAACCTTGTTCTTTAAAAAGCAGAAGCAACTAGGAGCAACTCATATAATTATAATCATCTACAGGATTCTACCTATAATGAATTCCAAATGAAATTACATAAGTAGCCTTAACTCTAAGAGCCTCATTAATCAGAAACGTTCAAGGAACAATTGTTAAATATATCAAATTTGTTCGGTTTAGTAAAAATACAGAAAGCTTTTCTAAAATTAGATGCAGCAATTCATATATCTGATTTAATAAATCAAGATTTTTCATTAGCAATGTGTATGAAAGTAGCTATGGATCATTTAAACTAAAATCAGAAATGAGTAATAAATCTTTTAATACTTTATAATTTATAGAACTGAAAATTTAATAGTATAACTTTCTCAGTCCATAAAAATGTTATTATAAAACATAGAAAACAATTTCACTGGAGAATACCCTAAGTTTTCATAACATGAAAAGTTTTATGTAATATGAATAATGGTATTAGAATTCTTACATAACCTAGCTTCATATTTTATTTAAATATCAAGTCTTTCAGAATAATCAGATAAATCTGATACATACCTCTATATATTTCACACGGAAAGGTCCTCCAACTAGTGTAGCTTTATTTCAGAAATATAAAACAAATCAGTTTGTGAAAAGATGACGAGGTGTTTATATTTATAGTTTTCTAAATTTGTACACTGACACTCTGAACAGATGCTACAGCTAAAAAAAAAAAAGCTTACTAAAAGCCAAATACAGTATCTTATAACACTTTTCATAGTTTACAACACAATGAACAGTGCACACACATAAATTTGACGTGGAAAAAAGCAGATTCAGTTTCAGTTTCCTTCTTTATATGTTCATTAAACTTTGAAATAAGATCATTTATTTAAGGCAAGCAGCAGAAAGTAAGAGGCTCAATATTCTTTCCACTTCTGTAGTGTTCAACACAGACAATACTTCCTAAAAATATGCAGTAAAAAATCAATATAAGGTATATGATCTTAATATGAAGACCTTAGCACCAAAATGAAAATGGAGTGTTGGTCCTCTTTCCCAATAGTAGTACTCTACAAAATGCCTGACTCCCACACCTTAAAGAAGGAAAGGTGGAATTTCAATCACGATTTCAGAGATTTCAGTCCATGTTCAGCTGGCTTCAAAGCAGAACATCCTGCCAGAAAGGTATGGTGAAGCAAAGCTGCTCATTTCATGGCAGCTAGAAAACAGAAAAAGGAAAAAGCCAGGGGCCACACATATTAGTCAGCATCATACCTTTGTGATCCATCCAGACATATCCAGAAGTGTGATTTATTAATCCCTTAGGCAGGTCTTGAGCCAATCAAGCAGATAATCCAATTTAATGGTTACATGGGGTATTACCAGTTTTACCAAATCTTAGGCATCTAATTTATATGAACAACCTTTAGGAAGAATATTTAGCATCTGCCTCTGATTGTTTTCCTGCTTGTTACTTTTGCGGCAGCAGTCAAGACAGATGGGCATGCTGGGCAAGTTCTGTCTCATTTTTAGTCCAACTCTACTTTTAAACTAAGAATTGGAAGCTTTCTAACTTATCCCCAACCAGGAAGCTACCTGAGTTGCCTCTGTCTACATCACTCTCACTGCCAGGAAAATTCTGTGGTTCTGACTCAGGTATCCTGACTAATATTCCAAATTTTATCAGGGTCTGGTCTTTTTGTACCTAACATCAAACTTATGGCTGGACATCCAGTGCCCCTGCTTAATGCTGATTTCTAGTTAACTTGAAAATTTCCACATATCCAAATTCCCAGTAGCTGGAATTTTCTGTTCAAAAGCAGATTATTTGGCATTTGGCAAAGGTAAAATATCAAAGTACTTCTTCCCACACTGCTTAAAACATTTGAAATTTGATTTTTTTTTAATCAGAGCTGCCCTTTCTAGGTCACCACTCAAGTAACAGTGGGTCACAAATGTATTGAGGACATGCTATTGAATACAAGGCAGTGTTCTTGATGCTTGCTTCCAGAAATGGACAAACCAAACAGACCTACATTTGCAGACATATTTTATTTTATATTTTATTTTATTTTATTTTAGTACCGGGGATTGAACTCGGGTCCTTGTGCTTGTGGGGCAGACGGTGGAACCACTGAGCTAAATCCCCGGCCCAGACATATTTTAATATTGTTAAACTACATCTACAACTAATAACAGTGGCTAGCTGGGCATTGTTTTACAAACCTCAGGTTTAAGACATTTAATTTTTATAAAACCCTTATTAAGTCTTATTATCCTATTGTACAGAAAAAGAAATAGAGATTAAATAAGTTGCCAAAAGTCAACAGCTAGCCAGTAAAACTGATATTTGAAGCCTAGCAGATTGAGTCTAATTACATTATTATCCAAGGTGATTTTAAGAATCATCCAAGTTGAATGTGATATTAAGATGCAGATTGAGAGCCCAGCATAGTAGCGCACTCCTCCAATCTTAGTGCTCTGGGTAGCTAAGGCAGGAGGATTATAAATCTGAGACCAGCTTTGGCAACTTAGTGATTCAGTGACACACTGTCTCAAAATTTTAAAAGGGCTGGTGATGTAGTTCAGTACAAAGGCCGTAGGTTCAATCCCAAATACTGCACGTGCATGCACACACACACACACACTGGAGAGTGAGAAGGGAATAGGATTTGAGTACTCAGAGAAGATCTCTCAAGAGGCTCATTTGGATAGAGATCTGGTTGATAAACTAGAAGTCACTTGAAAGATTACTTGAAGTGTATTTCAAATGAAGGCATTGATATAAGGAATTTGGTGACTTGTGGTTTAAACAGAAAGTCAGTGTAGGTAGTGGTTTTCAGCATGGAAAAACTGAAGATGAGTCAGAGGAGTAAGCAAAGGCAAGATGACACAGGATATTGTTGATCATGATATGGAATCTATATATTATTATAATTGAAATGAGATGCCATTGAAGCATTTTAAGCAATAGCATGATATGATCAATTTATGCAGGAATCCATAAGGAAGACTGGATGGGAGGAGGCTGTTACAATAATACAGGAATGTTAGGCCGGTGGCTTGGAGTAGTGTTGCAATGGAAATAGGAGAGCTTGTACAGAAGTCATGGTAGGAACGGAAAGAGCAAACCAAAGAGGTCAAGATAGGATCAGGTGTGTCAGTAAGAGGATGATTCAGACCAGGAAAATGAGGATGAGTTACATGAACTGAGGAAGGGCTCATGGAAACAGAAGGGACTAAACAAATGTAGAAAACACGGAAAGAAGAAATAATAGCATACAATTTCTATCAGGTGGAAGAAAAGCAATTATGATGATCTCTAGAATTCTGGCCAACATTTCTTTTTAAATGTATAATTTTATGAGAAATGGCCAAATTGTTGTATAGCAGCCAAATTTTGATCATCCTTTCTATTCCTTCTTTCAAAATTCTTAGTTTATTTCATTGTTATTAATATGTATCAACTGTACATATTAAAAGGGTTTGTTGTGATATTTTGACAGATTAAAGCACTGTGTATTAATCAAATCAGGACAATTAGTATCAAACTTATTTATGTGGGAACATAGGTTCCTACCTGTAACAGCAAATACTCAGGACTCATTCTTTTTTTCCCAATACACAAATTTTAATATATAAAGTCACTGAAAACCCTATCAAAGGTAATATTATTAATCTTATTCATCTAAATAAATTTTAAACTTTTTGTGAGTGTGCATTTTTCAATATAGTTTCCTTCATGAAAAATTGGCTTGATTAAATGAGTTGTAAAAATATATAAACCAAAAATAAGATATAAAAATGAAATTATTCTAAACCTCAAGTGAACTATAAGTCATGAAACATTGAAGACCAAGTGACTTCAGTTTCCTGAGAAGTGCATTAATGGACCATCAATACACATTCCAGAATACTTTAAAGGTACTCATAATTTAACAACACATATGAAGAAAACTGCACTTAATTTTTTCCATGAACAGATCATCTAAATGTTATGTTGTATGTTGAAGAATAAAGCTAAAATCAACATTATATTCAGTCAGTGTCACCAGTTAAATTAGTTTATTTAAACAGTTGTTGGTTCTCAATGATCAAATAATGAACATGAATAGATTTTCAATTTATAGAAAAGTATTATGTTCTACTCACTATTTCCTTTTATTCACTTTCTTTTCTCTTCTCCCTCTTACCTTCCTTCCATCCTTTCTTCCTTTCTCTCTCTTTTCTCTCCCAAGTTGATCTCATCCATCTCACTAGCTTTATATACCTCTACACATATATCATTCCCAAAGCTTACAATGAAGCCTTGCCTTTTCTTTTCAGCTCCAAACTATTTAACAGATTTCAAATAACATAATCCAAACTGAATTCTTTATCTATTTCCCCCTCTTTCTCTTTTCCATTTCAAGAAATGTCATCAAAAAGCATCTACTCACACAAATCAGAAATCATCTAATTCTGCAATAAATTATCTCAATTGTATTTCTGAATGTATTAGTCACATTTCCATTGCTGGGACAAAATACCCTATAACCCACAACTTAAAGGAGGAAAGGTTTGATTTGGCTCACAGTTTTTTAGTGAGTTCAGTCCGTGGCAGGCTGGTGCCAAGGCAGAAATAGCACGATGGGAGGGGCTGGTAGAGGAAACTTGCTTAGATCATGCTTGTCAGGAAGCAGATTGAGAAGAGGGGAACCGAAGAGGTTGATACACCCTTCCAGGTCATACATGCAGTGATCTACCTCCAACTAGGCCCCAGCTCCTAATAGCACCCTTCATCCAGCCAAGAACTCATCAATGGATTAATCCACTGATGAGTATAGCACCCCCATGATCCAATCACTCCAAAACCCACATATCTGAATACATGAGACTTTGGGGGGATATTGTAGGTCTAAACTATAACACTAAAATATATCTCTCCCTAATTCTCTGCATTTCTGTTGCAATCAGCTTGATTGAAGCCATCATGTTTTCTTACTTAGACATCAATTTGTAATTATCCCAGAAATTGAAATACCACTTACTAAACAACAAATTTGTAGCAGGTAATAGAGCTTACATAGAGACTGTTAAAAGTATACTTTTAATGGCGCATTGATTTGCCAAACAGGAGATCTTTTTGGGATTGCTAGCTGCAATTAGTAGTCGAGATCAGGAAAAATGATTTCCATGCACAATTTCTTAGTATCTTTCTCTGTTTTGAAGAGAATATGAGCTCCTCAACAGCTGATTCTGGAACAATTTATCCTGTACCTGACAATTATTAATACATATTTGTGTTAAATGAAAAGATGGTTAGACAGATGATCACCATTATTGGGTCTGCAATCTTAAAATCTAATATATAAAATGTTATTTACAGATATAAATGTTGCATAAAATTATGACATTCATCAATGTAATCTTCTGATATATAAAAGGAGGTTCAGATAGGCTAAATGACTTGTCCAAAGTCACACCTAGTATGTGACCAAATGTAATCTGAACTTCAGCTTCCTCACTAAGCTCAGTTTCTGTTCATTATTGAGCACCTCCAAAAATACTATTTATGGTTGTCCAAGTCAGGTATTATGAATTTCTGGAAATTCTTAACGATGATTATAGGAACTCGGCAAAATATTTTTTGTCTGAATAGAGCTGCCAATGGACCAAAAAAAATAATGTTATCACTGTTTATCTCAATAGAGAAATGTATGGCTAACAGTTTTTAATCAAGCAATAACATTATTTTAGCAATGTGTATTACAATTTAATGTCCATTTACTACATCTCACCTATTAATTACTACACTGCAATACATGCATTCTACTTTCCATTATTTTTTCATGTGTTTTAGTTCAGGATTCTCTATATTCTCTTTTTGCTAGTAACACATATGATTTCTTCTATTCTTTAAAGACCAGATTCCCTCCATTTTATAAGCCTGAAGCTTCAGCACAAGATATTCCATAGTCAAATGAAAGTGGACACAAAGTTTTATTTCAATGGATGAGTTTTTAAAAGTTCAGTATGTCCTATGAAAAGGAGATTACAGGATTTTGTTTCATTAATACTGCCATCAATGACTTTTAAATTGGCCACTTCTTGTTAGCTCCTAGTTTGATTTTGATTAAAAAAAATGGTATCAAGCAGACTTATTAGTCTATTAAATTTTAATTTTGCAATAACTAAATATTAGCAAAAACACAATTTGCACCCAAAATTATTAAAGTTGATATGAGTGGTAATTGAGTAGAACATTCTTAGAAATCATATTATTATAAGGGTCATTTAAAGTAATATAATTACAAGTCAAGTTTGTATATATTTAGAAAAAAATAATTTTCATAGGAAGCCTTCCCTAGTAATTATATGAATCCTCCATAAAATCAGAAATCCTCTACAGAAACAAAAATAAAAAATAAATAAAAATAAAAAATAAAAGTTCTTAAGGAAAAATACAAAAAAATGTCAAGTAATTTCTTGTAGCAACCTTTGAGAAAATACAAGTTATCTACCGGTAGCTATATAGACCCTCAGTTCTGTTACCTGCAGAAAAGAATAAAACTTACCTACTTCTTAGGTACTATTTTATCTTTATATCATTCACTTAATTTTATTTTAATATTTTTATAGTATGCCTACATTGTTAGTCAATACATATGAGTTAAAATCAAAGAATACAGTAAATGTTCAAAATTTTAAAAAATTATTACAGTAAAAGACACACTGCCACTATTCCTCCTCAAAATACTCCCTCTAGCTTCATACACACCTACTCCATCCTTTTTCCCACCTGAAGAAGTTCTGGAAGTCCTCTTTCAGGGTTGTCTCTGTGAGGTATGATAAAAAAATATGAATTATGCTGTTGTTGAATGTCACCTAAAGGGAAAGCAGAGCTTGTAAAAACATTACAGTTATCCTCACCCACCTTATTCATCAGATCTGGTAATAGGTGACTTCTGGATATTCTCCAAGTAAAAATGACTATAAAAGGTAAACATTTTGAATCAATTCAGGACATCAAAGCAACCATGGCAATGCAACCAAAGACATAAAAGAATATTGCCAGAACTGCTTCAGAAAGTGTCAAGAACAATGGGATAAGTGTGTTTGAGTTTAGGGGAAGTATTTTAGGGGATTAATGGGAATGTGCCTTTTACTATGCTAAATATTTTTAAAATTAAACATTCACCATATTTTTCAATCACACTTATACATTTAATTTTAAATATAGATGTGCGTGTATAATTAAACTAGTGTATAAAATGTGAGCATTGTCTAGGATTTTTCAAAAAGAGCCATTAACACATTGGCTGGTAAGTAGTAAATACTCCATAAATGTGACCTCGTGTTATTATGTTTCCAGATGGAAATAAAATGAGATCAATAGGGGCTGGGGATTTAGCTCAGTGGTTTTGCTGCCTGCTGCGCAAACACAAGGACCCGAGTTCGATCCCTGGTACCAAAATAAATAAATAAATAAAAATTAAAAAATAAAATGGGATCAATAGCAGGTGTTTGTATTTACTCTTGTGTCCATTACTCATAGTTACCCAGCACATAATGTTTTCAGTGAACTCTAACATAAATCTGTATTAGAAATCTATTTTACCAAAAGAAACTGGTGATAATTGGTGTGGCAATATTTTTAAATGTTATGTCTTATACAGAGATTGTGGTTAGAGATAAAACATTTTTTGGGCACTCATCTCTTATTTTATAGTAAAGAAATAACATTTCTGATAGCAAGAAAGGTTAAGCAATTCTGTTGACAAGTAAACATGAAAATAAGAAATGAGAACTTTTCAAGCAATATACAAAAAAATATTAACTAGCTTCTTGTAGCAACCTATGAGAAAACACAAAGAGAGAAATTAATCAACATGGGAGCTATTAAGATTTGGAATTTAGAGAAGTTAGAGGAAATTTAAAATAGACAGGACTTGCTTGGTTTGAAAATAAAATTGTATGCCAATCCTAGCCTGTTTTCAGCAAAACATTCTCAAAGTAAGAAATAGCTTCAGCACAAAGATAAAACTCAGGCTGCCACCATACCATTAAAATACAGACTTAAGGGATAAGCCCAAGGAAGTGACTGTAAAATCATGTAAGACTTAGATATATGGAAGACTGTATACTTAGCAGTGCTTTTGAGTATGTTATGGGCATAAAATCAAACCATCTCAGTTAAAACAGAATTTTCGGAAAATTAATGTTACACCATCAGTGACGAGGGTGACCTAAATTAGCACAAGGTCTATCTTGGAAAGCAGTATTAGTCATGAAGTCGAGTATAAATTGATCCATAAGAACCTCAAGTTGGGAGGAAGTAAATTCATTAGAAATTTCTTTTGTTTGAGTAGAAGTTGGTATAATTTGTAAACAATAAGAATTCATCCAAAAAATCTGTAAATATTACATGTTCCATTTGTTGCAAAATGTATTTGTAGTCATCAGTAAAAAGTGCACATGTACCTTAATATAATCTCCTTAGAAATAACAGAAAGCAGTATAATTTGCCAATCTTGGATCTTTCTCACAAGGGAGGAGACAATTAGGGTGAAAATTATTAGGCTTCACACCTCAAACCTAAAAGGGTGTATTTGTCCAATAGTGTTACAGAAAAATCCACTTGGATAAATATTACTCAGTAAAGTAGAATCAGAGTTGGAGACATAGTTTTTAAGTTTTTAAGTTCCTAAGCAACAAAGCAAGTTTTTGGTTCACGGTGCTCACTACTCTGACCCATGTAAAGGCATCATCAGTTTTGCCTCTTTAATGTTCTTTGTTTCTGATTTATTTTCATTCTGATGGATACATATTTTTCTCCAGTTATATCAACACTGTTTCTTAAGTTGTATCATCTGGTGGGCTATTCTGTACATCCTTTCTCCTTGAAGAAGTTTTTGATATTCTTGATCTCATCTCTTACAGATAGATTTAGAGCTTCAAGAGATCAATGTTTTTGCTCTGATTTCCAAACTTTAGATGATGTCTGTATTGGTCAGCTTTCTGTCACTGGGACATCTGTGACTTAAGGAATGAGAGGTTTAAGTTAGATCAGTACTTCAGAGGACTCAAAGCAGCTGACTCAAGGCAGAAACAATACGGCTGAAATGTGTGGTGGAGCAAAACTGCTTAGTTCATAGTGGCCAGGAAGCAGTCAGACAACAGTGGCAGAGAGAAAGGAGCCAAGCAGCAGATATGAACTCAGTCATGTCTCCATGATCTACCCAGACACACTCAAAAGTATCCTTTACTACTCCCCTATGTGGCTCCCAAGCCAATCAAGTTGAAAATTAAGCTTAACCATCACAATCCACCCCTTGACCACTTGACACTTAAACATATCTCCCTAAATGACAGATAATCTCCAATTAAGGAAATTAGCAAGTTCATGTGTCCACCTACCATGTTATAACTATTTTGCAAACAACCAGATACACCCTAATTCCCCAAAAGTTCCACAACTGCTCTAAAGTCCAAGTCAAACTCTCCTCTGAGACTCAAGGCAAACTCCTAGCTGTGAATTCTTATAAAAATAGAAAGCTACTTTTTCCTAAGGTGCAATGGCAAAAGGTAAACATTCCTATTCCAAAAGGCATATAAAAAAAGGGAATAAAAATATAAGGTGAACATTAATTCTTAAAGCTTCATATCTGGCATCAGGGTACATAGTGATGTAATGTGAGTTACAGAGGACTTGGGCAGCCTCAAACCTATGGCCTTGCCAGTTACAGCCACATAACCTCTCATTTGGGCTGCCTGTGCTGCTGCCAGAGGTTTTCCATGGCAGACATTCCACATTCTTGCCAGCTCCAACCCACTAGAGTCTCCACTGCACTTTCTGCTTTACACAGTCACAGTCTGCTTTACACAGTTTTACACAGTCAAGGGTACTTTCCATGATCTCCCAGGTCTTCCTTTGAAATTTGAGTAGTACTAGTAGTAGATTCAAATCTACATCTCTGGTTCATTTCTATTGACTATATAACTTCTGCTTTCTCCCTGTTTTTGCAAAAAACAAAAAAAAGACCAAGTTTTAATTGACTGCAACACTGATTTTTAAGGACATCAATATGAAAATAAACTAAATATGGGGGAAAGTATAGCCAAGGGATTACTGAATAAAAATTACATATTGGAGCATCTCCTATGTTCCCATGCTTTTGCTCTTGCACTGACAGAAAAATACCGTGTGTGAATTATTTTGTGACATTGCCAGCTGCATAATTTCTCCTGTAGACCTGAAATCAAGTTTTGAACATTTCTAGGTACTGATTGAGGTGTTTAAGTTATAGCACTAACAGAATTTGCTCTGGCTCTGAGCTAAATTTCTTAAACCCTCATATAAACTCCATCCCCTGAATCCCTCACTGGGAACAAGTGTAGGTAGAACATTCCTTCCTCTTGCTGTCTGCCTGAAGTTAGGCCACACACTCTGCAAATAAGTTCATCTAGTAAATGATTTGGACTGATAACCCAAGGAATAGTCCTTCTTTCTCTTCATTCCTAACTGGCCCTCCTCTCATGATGGTTTGGGGCACTCCCTTGGATGCTTTTGGGACCACTCCAGTAATCATTCACTCAGGACCAAATAAACATTAATATCAATATTAAATTATTTATATTTTCATAGAAAATCTATCAGAAATCTTAATGAAGTATTGTTTCTAAATGAAATATAGATGTTGTGTGACATAGCTTTCTGAAGAAAATATAGCTTTGAAAAATGTACTAGTGAGGATGTATGCTCCCAAATATATGACTAGCCAAAGCACAGGCATTGTCTTGAGTTTAGTAAAGTTACCTGATGGATGAAAATATAACGTGGCCACTAGTGGATGATGTAATTTGGTACATGGATAGTGCTTCATTTCTGCAGGTCAAAGATTTTACAATGGAGCATTGAACAGGTTTTTGTACTCCTCAAATAGCAAAGGAAAGATGCCATAAAAACATCATTTTCAGTTATTACTAAATGCCTAACACAGTAAGAGGCACTGAAGGATTTGTGAAAAATAAGCTTTGTTTTTGAGATTTTTGGTTTTAGAATAATATATCACAAAGTAGAAAATAGTTGAATTGGTCTTCGTTTGATTACCACAGGAGTGTCAATAATAAAAAACCAAAGAAAAAATTTCTACTTCTTTCTAGTGCTAATTTTTTAGCTAATAGTTGATAACTGTAGTGAATGGAAATCAGAGTTACATTTACAATAGGAAAGTCTCTTTTTGCATTTTGTATTTGCAATTGTACTTTGGATAACTGTTTATATGACATTCATTTACCTTTTAAGACCATCTAGTTTTACCTTTCAGTCAAATTCATTTCTTCTCCAGCCACACCATCACTGTTTTCATGTAGACTGTCGTCATTTATGTTATAAAGCTAATTTATTCCCTGGCTCCAAGCAGCTTTCCAAATTACCTATATGAAACATAAATTTACCATTAGTCCCTAATTAATACCTCTCTAACTTTGCAGTGACTACAGTCACCAGCAACATAAAATCCAAGCTCTTTTCCATGTTCCACTTCCTAATTTTTCTTTATCCATATTTTGCAAAACTAAATCCCTACAACTTAAAAGTGCCTGCTCTATCTTGCATATGTCATACATTTATTCATGTAGGATCTTCCATCTGGAATACCACCACCATTTCTATCTCAGTTTAGCTACCCTGACTCATCCTTTAACATCCAAGGTGGGGACCTAATAGTGCTCAATGAAATCTGTCAGAGTGGTGTGAAAATGCTATTTTCAACATACTGTCTGTATTAACTTGGGAAATTTATTTAACTTGTCCAAGTTTCAGTTTTTTCCATCTGTACATAGGGACAGTACTATTTTGATGACTAAAAAGAAAGATAAAGTTTGTTTAGAAGACACCTGGCACATAAGTCTTTTATCAGCATGTATGAATAAGGATTATTGTCACCTGCCATGTGAAAGCTTTCTTCATACCATCACCTTGACTGCAGATGCTTCTCTATTGGGGTGATAGCCTGACCAGTTACCAGGGGATGCCCAGTCACCTGAATGAGGGTACAGCAGGGGATGAAAGAATAATATACAAAGAACAAGGAATAAAGAATAAAGAACAAATGATAGTTTATTACTTGGGTATGCCAGGAATTGATCTTAGCTCTGTTCTGGCTAATACCACAGACTCTGGATTAGTCAGTATTCATAATTATACAACATAGCAAGGAGTACAAAGGCAGATTTAAGGAATAGGAGAACTAATGCACTAATAAGCCAGGCTGTAAAAGGGAGTAACTATGTATTCTTGTCAAGGCCAGGTCACAGTTAGCAAGCCACCTGTGCTATTTTGCAGGCCAGAGCAAACAAGCCAACTGCACTGTCTTTAGCTAATGTTTGATCTTGGAGAATGGCTGCACAGAGTCATAATTTCTCAGCTGTAGTGTTTTCTTACTGCTAGAGACATCACAACCTCATCAATCATTGAGACCTCAATTGTGACCGTTGGCATAAGGAAGTCTGTCTCCATATACCAGCTGAAGGGTCAATTAGCAATTCATACTTGGGTCTTGGAATGACTCATAATTTTAATCAATAGCCAAATTCATAAGTCAAATCAATAATATATAAAGCCTGCTTGGTGCAGCTTCAAGTTGGTCTTCTGTACTTTTCTATGTCTTTTTGTAATGCTTTATCTGTATTTTTATCATAGCAATTACAACATTGTACTATTGTTATCTTTTATACAATGTCTTTCTTCTGATTGTGAATTGTGTCAATATCACAACCACATCTATTTCTTTTTTATTTTCATGGCTTAACACAATGTCTGTCATACAGTAAACATCCAGAAAATATTTGTGGAATGATTAATAATGAATAAGTACAGCTTTCTCAGACTAAAAGAAATATATGTACTTAAATTCTAGATATCCATTGCAAAATAAGAAGATGTCTCAAAACTCACTGAATTTAAGTAAGATTTTTCCCCAGACATCAATAATTTGGGCCATATGGATGGACAGTGCTCTTTCTTGCTCTGCTTGGCAAAATCTGTGATAGCTCAGAGACTGAGGATTGAGGTCATAACAGCATATATCTGATTGTTCATGTGCGTGATCCATTAACAGAAAGGATATAATTAACATCACTAATACGTTGACTTGAAGATAGATGATCCAGGTGCTCTAATCAGAGCTTTCTCTGACTGGTGGCAGAAGTCAGAGATGTGAAATACAAAGAGGATTTGATGTACCATGGCTGCCTTGAAGATGGAGAGGACTATGTGCCAAGGTGTATTAACAGCTTTTAGAACATAAGAGCTGCTTCCAACTGATTGCCAGAAAGGAAATGAGAATCTCAAGCCCAAATGAATGGAATTCTCTGGGCTTTTAGTTTTTCATTACAACAAAATACTTAAGGCAGCAAACTTTATAAAGTGAAAAGGCTTATTCAGTTCACATTTGTGGAGTGCATGAGACCTATATTAGCTCTGTTTGATGAAGGCTGCATGACATCATAGGAGAAAGAAGTGGAAAGAATGTATGTGTGTAGACACATAGGATTACATAGGAATAGAGAGAGAGAGAGAGAGAGAGAGAGAGAGAGACAGAGAGATGTTCTACAGTCAAAGGTACACCTCCAGTGACTTAAGGACCTTCCACGAGGCCCTACTCCCCAAAGGGGAGTACTCTTACCAACAAGGCCACCATAGGAACCAAGCATTTAATCACAATGGACCTTTGAGGGATACAAACCGTATTTATCTATAGCAGCCAAAACCTGAATGAAACTGGAAGTAGATATTACATAAGTTACAATCAATCAATCAATCAATCCATCCATCCCAGACTGATTATATCTTTGAATTCAGCCTTGTGGAAAACTAAGGAGAGCACTCAACTGAGCCAGGCTGGACTTTCTATAACTATACTTTCATATAACTACAAACTAATAAGTTTATATTACTCTCTTTTGTGATAGTTTCATTGCTATAGAAAACAAATATAATGGGGGTATTAGTGTAACCATTTGAAAAATCTCCACCACAGGAATTTATTCAGATTATGTAGATTTTAAATGTGTTTTCTTGAACATAAATAGTTTAAAAGCAGTTACTGTTAAATAATTCTCTGGATTTAAGGCTAATTTTAAGATAATTTTCACAAATTACTATGAATGATAATACAGATTCTCAGTTTGTTTCTTTTTTTAATCTCAAGAAGATAAGGTTTATCTAGGTTCTTTACCAGGATCAAGATTTGGAGAGAAGGATATTGATACAGACTGGCTAATGGCTAACTCTTAAATAACTTTATGGGTTGAATTATGTCTCCCCTAGATGACATGTTTAAGTCTTAATCACCAGTAATTCAGAATGTGATTTATATGGAAACAGGATCTTTAAAGAGTGATCAAGTTAAAATGAGATTATTATGATGGGCCCTAACCCAGTATTTCTGATATTAGAAAAAGAGGAAATTTTAGACGGGGATATAGAGCTACAAAAGGAAGACTGTGTTAAAGAGACACAGGGAGAATATCATCTGATAAAGACAGAGATTCTCATGATGCTCCTATATAGCAAGGAATGTTAAAAATTTCCACAAAGCAACAAGAAGTTAGTAGGCAGGAATGGAAAAGACTGTCCGTCTCCACCCTCAGAAAGAAATAACCCCATTAATGACTTCACCTCAGAGTTCAGTCTCCAGATCTGTAAAACAATCCATTTCTGTTTAAGTCACTCAGTTTGTGATACTTTGTTATGGTGGCCCTAGCAAACTAATACAGGTTTTAGTAACAGGAAGTGAGATACTATAGTAAAAAACACCCATATTTGTAAAAATCGCTTTAGAATTAAGTCATAAATAAAGACTAAGAAAGAGTTTTGAGGTACATAATAGAAACAGCCTAGATTTCACTGAGGAGATGGTTGGTAGAAATATAGATGTGAAAGAAGAGCCTGCTGGAGGCTCAGAAGGCAAGGTTTAGAGAAATGTTCTATCAACTGAGATAATGTGGGTTGTCATGTACACAATGTTTCTAGAAGTATGAAAGGTAAAGGTGCTTCTGAGGAGATGTAAAGCAGAAATACAGAATGTATTACTGGAAGCTGAAGAAAAGCTAGTCCATGCTAAAAGTGACAAAGCATTTGCCTCAATTCTATTTTGTGAATTGGAAGAAATTTCTAAGTACAAAATTTGGTTGCGTAATTGAAAATATTTTTAAGCACAGTATTGAAGGTGAGGCTTGGTTTCTCCTCCTTGTTAATGTGAGAGAAAAAAGATAAATGGAAGAATTCTGCCTCAGGACTACAACATAGAAATTCTGCTTGAATTTCACTATAGATTTTGAATTTCTAGTGAATTTTGCACTGAGGATGCAATATCAACTCTTATGTCAAGTCCCAGTCCTCCTAGCCTAAAAGATTTTGTACTAGCTGTTGTTCACAACTGTGTGGGACAATTACTTAAGATTCCATTTGCAGTCATCTCTTTCTATCCCTCTCTACATATATGTGCATATATGTATATATTTATAAATACAAATATACACACAGCTTGTGAAGAGACTTAAAAGTGCAGAAAGCCATAGTAGTCAAGAAAATACACATCAGCTTTTTGCTTTAGCAAGCTTATTCTGTCAGTGGTGTGTAAAATGAATTGAATATGAAAGTGATCTATTTCTCTGGGAAATCATGACTAATATAGTTGCTTAGGGACAGCATCTAGAAAATGTAAACATAGCCATATTCTCTTCAATATGTCGAAACTGTTTCTTCCATTTCACAAAGGTACCCTAAAGTATGTTAAGTTTTCTCTTTTCAATAATTTTATTTCCTACCCTCTGACTTTAAAAAGTCACTCAAATGTCTATAAGTCACCCCCGCATTCTCATTTTCCACCCGATTCAGATAGAACTTGGTGTATCTTCTTGACATGATCAAAATGGAAAACTATTCTTTTTCTCATCATCTTTCCTTCTCAATAAATTGCATACAACATCATCATAGTAAACTTTGTAAGCCAAAAAGCCTGATTTGCGATTTTCTCACATACAGTGGCTTTTGCACAGGATAATGGTGAAATGTTAGCTACCAAGACTCTTTTCAAGGTCCTTCAGGAACTAGGTCTAACTATTCTCTTCATATATAATTCATGCCAAGTTTCTCTTCTTCTCCATGTACTTTTATTCAGGGCTAATTTAAATGTATGAATAGACATTTATCAGATGAGATGTGGAAGCAGCAAATAAACATATGAAAAATGTTAAACATCACTAGTCATTTGAGAGATGCAGAAGAAAACAATGCTGAGATTCCATCTCACTCCAGAAAGAATGGCCGTTATCAAGAAATCAACCAATAAAAAATGTTGGTGGGGCTGTGAGGGAAAAGGAATCCAACTGCACTCTTGGTGGGAATATAGGCTGGAGCAACCACTGTG